TTGTTACCTGAAAAGTTACCTTAAAAAGATCTTAGAGACTGCTTTACTTTAATTGTGGTGACGCTCCTAGAGAGAGCGCTCGCTGTTCTGTTGATAAAAATGCATCAAAAACAGTGCTCGACACAAAACATATGTGACCTATAACTGTATTCTAGCTGGCCTGAAGTGCCTGTGAAATACATCTTAGTCAAGTGTATATAGGTACTACTTTGGATGCTTTAAAAACAAAATTCTATTTATAAATCAGGACTAATTTGTACTTAAGTAAAGCACTTATGTGTGTAATCTAAAATGGTGAAAATTTTACTTAAGCTTGTTACAATTTTAATCTTGTTATAATTTTAATTTCTACCGTAGTAGAAAAGAGACTGCTTACATGATTATAAAGGATGTTAAGTAGTCCATGCTATCTGCATCTCAGTGTTGCTACTTTAAGAACTGAACTTGGAGAAGTTCATTGTTTTTAATGTAGCCTTTAAAAGCTAAAACCTTTCTCTGCGCTTTCCAAGTCAGGCTTTTCTCCGCAGTGTATCCTGGATTTCCAGGACAAATAAAGGCAGACCAGATCCAACTCAGAAGTGGTCTGCTCTTCAGGGGAGCCCTGCCTTGGAGTGGGGCCTGTAGTGGACTCTCTTTCCTTGGAGTGAGGCTTGTAGTGGACTCTCTTTCCTTTCAGCAGAACTCTTTCAGGATTTTCAGTTATATGGATTAATATTTTTTTCATTATTTTCAAGATTACTGAACTAAGAAGGGAGAAATTCTTGGGGTATTTTTTTTTTCTTTGCAAACAGTCACGGAATCTGCGTAAAGATCACTGCTTTGCTTTTGCAATCTACGCTAGAAATGGTCAGAAGCTACAGGGAATTTAGCTGCCTGTTGCACACGGGGCAAGGCTGTGCAAGGTTAGGCAGATAAAGCACCTGGCACGTGTTTTCAGTGTGGAGAACAGGAATGAGGAAGCTAAATGTAAACTTTTCACTGAAACCAAAGCAGAATCATCATTGTGAAACTGACTGTAAGGTTGTTCTTTGTTTTGGTTTCTTTATTTTTTTCTTTTTTTTTCCTTTTTCCAGACCTTTCCCATGCTTTGAGGCATGGAGTCATTCTTATTTCATTTGTCGGATGGCTGGGCTTTGCTGGAGCTTTCTAACTGCAGAGACAATGCAGAAGTACCTGAGATGACAAAGATGATGATGCTGGTGCTAGCTGCATGTTCAAGTCCTAATGCCTCTTTCCCATCTTGTTGATGTGCAAGGACTTGGTGGTGGCAGCTTTTGCAGTTTTTCTGATATCAGCGCTCAATTAATCTCTAGTTATTTAGCTTATTTCATCCATAGAGAGTAAGGAGCATATGGCAGAAGGTCTAAGGTAAACCGCCATCTGATGTGTTTATCCTCTTCCAAGTCTCCAGTTCTAAGGAGTCCCACGGCAGATCCAAAGTGGTTACTGTCCCTTTGGAAGCTGTGTATCTGCAAGTCTGTAACTCTGGTATAGTTCCCCAGACTCAATAAGATTGTTGTGCTGTGACCTGTATTTGAGGGCAGCATGCTCCAGAGTTCCCTTTTTGTCTGCGCAAAGTGGAAACCGGCACTTTTCCAGGCTAAGCCTTCACATTCGTCTGTATAGGGACCTCAGCGTCAGAGCTCACAGCCTTGTTGCCTAAGCACATTTATCCGTTCTGATAGTACTTCAACACAGAGTTACTTCCTCAGAGATAACAGATAGCTAACCACAGTTTTTGCAAAAAGGCTTTTTAGAAACAATTGCTAATCAGTTCCTATAGCATGAGAAAAGTAACAAAATATGAAATGCTTTCAAAATTTGAAATACTTTACAAAATTCTTTCATCCAGTTGCCTTATCTTTCCAGTTTAACCATTTGCTTCTACTGAATTTCACTTCTTGAATGTGATTTTTCAGTCTGATAAGGTTGATAAGAGTTAGTTACTCTTGCTCTGCTGGCAGCTTGCTGGAGTTAACCTAAAGGTTCTCGGTGTCTGCTATCTCGCCAAACTGGGATGCCTTCCTAGGAATGGAGGACGTTAAGAGTTAGCAATATACATTGTTACTGCTTTGCCTGTGTCCTAATTTGAGCCAAGATTAAGGCAAAAAGATAGTACAGAGGATAACAAATATCATGAGTATTGTATTGAGAACATTGCATTAAAAATACATTTAAAAAAAGCAAACAACTGCATAAGTATACATAGAAAGATTTCCCAGGTCACTATACTGTTTTTTTCTAACATCTGTGCTGACATTCTCTAAGTGTTTGTTTTTCTTTCTGTCTGGGATTTGGCCCAGAGATTTCTGAAGTGTATTATTGCAGTCATCTTTTAACTGATATGGCGAACCTTTAAGATTTCTCCCAAGGAATATTTACTTCTAGATCAATGAAGTAGAAATACCCAAAGCGGCAGTTATAACTCATCTATCTTGAAGTTTAAGCAAGCTAAATCTTCCGAAGTTGCTTCCAACTTTGGAGTCTAATTTCACAAGTGTTCATATATTTAGAAATAGTGCCTCTTACTTAAAATGTTGTCCTTATTTGAAAGTGCTGTGTGTTCAGAGTAGCTGAATCTGGTAGCCCAATGAACAGTGCAAATGGCCTGATCCTTCTTCCCTCTCTGGCTGATCGGGATGAAAACCTATTAGTGGGAAAATACACACAGAGATGCATGTATGTAATATGGATCCCTGTATTATTTGGTCTTGGGCACCCAGTCTGTCTGTAGCTGCCCCCCAGTGCCCGGGTCTCCCCAGGGGCTGGCAGCTGGGTGTGTAAGCCCCAGAGGTGCACAGCCGCCTTCCAGTTGCTGGTATTTAGACCCCCTGTGTGCGCTCACACATGTACTATGTATATCCCTCTGTAACTGTCGTTAGACACTCAGTCAAACCAGTAACTGGCCCTGGGTGGCCCGGTCTCCCATGCACAGACACAGACGGGTCCCTGGCCCAGACCTATGGCCTCTCCAGTATCTGCCCCCCAGCCCCGTGCTTGGCTCAGATCCCCCGGCTCTGGGTATCTGGCCCAGACTTGGGGCCTTTCCAGTGTCTGGTTCCCAAAACTCTAACCCTAGCTACGCTGGCCTCGTGCCTGTTAGCGATGGCGCAGGCCATGAGGAGGTGTGGCCCCTTCTCCCGCTGCTGGCACTCAGACCTCTGTGCCGCAGGACACAGATAGAAATGCCGTTAAATAAATAAATAAGCCAGGACAGTCTGGTGATCAGCGACCCACAATGAATCGTCTTCTAGGCAGAGGCCCTCAGGCTGTTAGGTGACCCCGAGGCCTCTCCCGCCTGCACCCCCGGGGGGTCCCTCAGCCTGGAGCCAGGCCTTGGCCGGACCGATGGCCTCGCGAGGAGCGGGGCCGGGCTGCTCCCCCAGCGCTGCGTTACCAGCGTGCCTCTGCCCGCCAGTGCTTCTCTGCGGCTTTTTGTTGATGCAGATTAGCCTTTAATCACGTAACCTACCATTATAGGTAGTTCACACGCATGCCTATAGATTTTATAGCATGATATCTAAAGCATAGCCATACCAGCCGTAGGAATACTACTGAGTACATTTGCAGGTGAGAGAACATAATTATTTCTTGGTCTAGGCTTTTTTTTCTAGTTGTCTCAGTGATGAATGCTGAAAGTATTGGTTTAAGTCTTTATATACTCCTATGTGAGTGTGCACAAAAACCTGCCTTCTTCAAATAAACCTAGGGCTCCGTAAAATTAAAAATTAGTTGAAAGACTTCCTGTTACGATTTCTTTCTTAAACCTTTGAGAGGAAAAATGTTAAAGGTGACTGACAGATCAGACTGCCTCTCATTAAGCTTTGGGTCTTGTTACATCCATCTGTGCTGGATCCAAGAAGCAGAAAATGTCTTTAGGGGTTTCATCTCAGATGCCCAAATTCAAAAGCCAGCTATGGGAGGCATCTTGTGAGGCCTCGCTCCACCAGCCCAGAGGACTGCAGGAAGGGAGGTGCTCTTTAAAATGAGTGATGAAGGAAAGGTGATTGAAATCCTCTTCGTGCAAAAGGTCTGTCTATCGTGAGAAGTTGTCAGGTGAACGTTCAGGACGGCTTGTTCAAGGTTGACTGAAGAGAAGACTGTCAGACAGTTACAGGATTGCCCAGCTCTGTGGCTCAGGGCTGACCCCTCAGCAGCGGGTGGCTGCAGCTCCCATAGTGTGGCCCTGCAAGCACCTTGTGCGTGCATCACTGCCCTCCTGTAGCGACCTTCTTCACGCTTCTGTCGTCATCTCCATCAACTGCTAATGGAAGTACCTCTTGGTAAAGTTAGTGTCAAGAAGTAGAAGAATCTGGTCTGGTTTCTGCCCTTTTCAGTGTGAGATTTAGTTTGGCATACTCTTAATGAAACTTTGGGTGGTAAACTGAACAAGCCACCTCTCATGGTCATCACAGCTCTCCTCACGTAGTAAAAGTGATAGTACTTACCCTCCTTGCAGAAATACCAATGTGAACAAGATCAACAGCAGTAAAAAAAAAAGTGTATCTTGAGTTCCCTTTGGTTTCCTGTGGATAAATGTCATCCTCCTGAAGCAAATCTTTTAATGTCCCTCCAAATGCAGTCATAAATGGAACAAAGATAGGAGAAAAACTCTCCTAACTAGATCTTAATCCCAGGACATGCAAGGTCAAGCCTGACGGCTCCTCTGAACCAATTTTGAAATAAAAGTTGGGGTTTGTTTTCTTTTTCATGAAACGCTAAGTTTATATGAAAGGCTTTGCCACAATAATTTTTTCAAAGGATATTAAGCTCAAGTTGTCCACAAGAAAAGCGTGGTGGAGGGGAGCTTTAGCTTTGGAAGCTGGGGTTTTTTTCTGAGATCTGCTTCTTGGTGCAGAAGTGGTTCAAGGCTTACCTGCTGTTAGTTGCACCACTGTCAGGTCGGGAGAGTAACAAAATAAACTTGCCTAAATGAGGGAGACTTTCCTTCTTAGCTCAACATACATGGTTCAGATAAATATTTTCCCTAGGAATTTTCCCCTGGCAAAATTGAATGCTTCAATGGACACTGTTTAAGATCAATGAGAAAAAACATGCCGCCCTGTTCAGACTCTAGCTTTGACAAAAGCATGGAAATATTAAGTGAAAATGTCAATCGAAGACATTTCACGAGGTATTGTATTTCTAGATGACCAATCTCTGTTCAATTCATAGAATTAAAAGGAAAAGTGAAAGCATGCACAATGAGTCACGCCATAATAAATCTACAGCTAAAAATCTGCGGGGGAGTACAATTATGTTAATGTCAGTGCCAGTATCTTAGAACTAGAATCGCTCTTCTTAGTAAAAGTCTTCTGCTTGTGCAAAAACCAGGCATCTTTTCCCAACTCCTTTGAGATCTCTCCTCCTCTTTGGTTACTGAGATGTTATTTGCACTATTGAGACTTCAAGATTGGCAGGTTAGGAAATTTATGTCCTTATAGAACTGTCTGCATATAGTATACAGCAGACTTGGGATCTGAATGCTCCATGTGGTCCACAGGCTTTTCTTTGCATGATGTGGAACACTGGGTTATAAACTTGGTCAGGTTCCCTAGTCTTGATGGGGAACAATACAATACGATACAATACTTCTATGCAATAATTCTAATACAGTAATTCTTTTCTCCCTTCTCTCCTCTGTCCTCTTTCTTAATGTAGGCAGTTGGCAAAGCCAAAATCAGACCAAAAAAAAGAAGAATATAAAGAAGGTAAGTAGTGGTAAATCCCTAGGATTCCTTTTTAGCCTGGTTTCCGAGAAGGATTGCATTTGGTCACTCCGTCTATTTAACTTAGCCCCAAAAACTTCTGAACTCGTCAACCAAAATCAGCTGAAGTTATGAGAATAGATATCTCAAAGATAGTGAATCTCCTATGAGTTTTATGAAAAGAGGTAGGTGCAAATAGGAGGATACGCTATTAATTAAGACGTGTAGATGTGGCGCTTAGGGACATGGTTTAGTGGGCGTGGTAGTGTTGGGTTGACAGTTGGACTCGATCTTAGAGGTCTTTTCCAACCTTAATGATTCTATGATTCTATGATCCTAATTCCTTTCAGGCTTGGGGATAATGCAGCATGAATTCCAGCCTGCTCTTAGGCACTAGAGAATCTGTTCCTTAGCTCGGGTTTCTTTGTGATGTGGATTTTCTGGAGCCTGCAGGACACTAATTGAAAATCGTTCTTGCAAATAGGAGGGAATATTGCAGTATTATAATATATGTGAGTTCAAAAGTAATTCAGACATGAGATGCACAAACCCACTGATGTGGGGAAGGCGTCACTGAAGTTCAGCGATTTACCTTGGAACCGAATTGCCATGCCGAGTACACAAGCAGGCTTGGTGCTGTGAGGCCGCTTGCTGGCAGCTGGGAAAATCCGTTATTTCCAGGCAGTGTCCTGCCAGCCACAAGCTGAACGGGGAAGGGGCCTGAAATGCACTTTGTGTGTAGTAATTCAAGTTCCAATTGTGCACTACTTTCTCACTGACCTCTCTTAACTGTTTTAATGATAGCGCAAGTAACGAACCCGTGGCAAAGGATGCTGTGTGGTAAATACTGGGCAGATCTGTTTTTTAAAGCAGGCAAGCATTTGACTTCTTTGGTATTTGGGAGTTTATCTTGAGACATTTCTTATCTTCTAGAGCTTTTGTGTCATGGTGCAGAAAATGAAAATGATGCATGCTTAAACAGTGTACTAAAAACATGCATCTTAAGAAGAGACATCCCACATAAAATTTTTTTTTAAAAACTATTAGATACAATTTTACATGAATGGAGTAAAAACACCTTAGAGAGAGGTATTTGTCATTTTCACTTTTCCATAAAGAAGTAACTGCAATAAACTTGCCTCCTGCATGAACAAAAGTTGCTTGTTTGTTTTCATCAGATTGCCTTTCCAGTCTAATTAAAAAGCTGCTACACAAGTCATGCTTTTAAGTAGGTAGTTTAAACATAAGTAATTTAAGTTGAATGCTGTGGTCACGACAATAACTTCTAATTCAGTATTTAAAGAAAGAATCAATCCACTGCAGATTTTTTTACATTTTACTAGAGCAATGGTGAAATAAAGGGAATAACGTATTTTCTGTCTCAAAATATTTTATATATTAATGCATTTTAGTGACTAGAACACTGAAGACCAGAGCTAATGCAAAAGCTGCAGAAAAAGTCCATGAAGAAAATGGGGATTTGGAGGTCCGCCAAAGCTGCAGACTTCGACAAAGTCGTTACAGCACTACAAATCAATCTGTTTTGTTTGACAAACTTATAACAAAGTAAGTGGGGTTTTTTTTATCATCTTGCAAAGCTACTAAAATGAGCCTTATTAGCAAGCCTTTGTGCTATGGTGTAATATTGGCTAGGGACTTTCTCCTTCTTTTGACAACAGAAAAAGGTATTATTCCTGGCAGCAAGAGCTAAATGTATTCAGTGGTTAGGCTGAGACTTCCCTGCATGTACCTACATATACGATACGTCCTTGTGATAACTGCTGGGCTGCAGGTGCCCTCCATAGTAGAGTCCCACCAGGGTCGCACAGCTTGCAACTTGCAGGATGTTAGCAACCTCTGCTAACATTCCCTTGCGGTTGATCAGGTAGGGTCTCCTCCTCTTCCTCTGCCTGCACCGGTATGTCCTGTAATTATTAGTATATTGATTTATGTAAGGTGTGGGCCTTTGTACTTCGCAGCCAACATGTTTAACCTGAGTTTTTTTGGAAATAGGTGCTTGTGGCTGTTTAAGACTTCCAGGTCTGAGAGTGTGTGCAGGAGGATGTATTTGGAAGGTGCTTCACGTGTAAGGAATTTGGGCGCAGACAATGTTTAAATTGGCCACCAATGTCTTCGTTTTGGGATTGCCCGTTGCGGAGAGATATTCATACTAGAGCATCATTTATGTATGGGCTGGGTGGGTTTACGTGTTGTCTTGTGAACCAAAATGATCACTTTATATTGTGACTTTCGGTAGATTTAACTTGCCCTCTAAATCAATTTTCTTAGCATTAGAAGCACCTTCATTTTTAATCAACTTTTCTTCCACGCTTATATAACGCTCAGTTGAGTTAAGATACTGAGGAAAGTTGGATACAGCCAAAGTGAAGTAGTCCTAGTGTTTCTGCCTGTCTGTCTGTGGCTTAATTCTCTTTGTGAAGCCCAAACTGACATTGTTTTCTGAAAGGTTTGTGAAATGCAACAGCAGTGGGATGTTTTTTCCAGTGTATGTAGTCATGGAAAACCAACACGAAACTTAAATTACAGTTAAGGGAAGAATAAGCAACCTGTTGTCTGAGGAAGGCTGTGAACTAAAAGTGACTTAATGCTATCATGCAGGGCAACTGAAGTGCTATTAAAAACTGCCATAATTTCTTTCTGTTATCTTACTATGATCTTCAGAATTCTTTTTTTCCTACTAAAACAGGGGTTTTTTTACTGTGTTCAGCGAGAGGGGAAAATAAACCTGAATACAGTGTATGTTTGCAAATCCTCAAATGCTTGTTCTTATATTTCTCTATAAAAAAGTAAACATTTGACCTAATTTTTAAGTAGTGTTTAAAAACTTGCCTGTGTCAGTGACTCTTGCTTTGTGCCTACTATATTAAAATGTCATACTGATCATGTGTACTGTTTTAAATGAGTTTTTTTGTAGTTGCCTGTCTTTGCTCTTACATGGCAACTTTTTATCTTAGTACTGCAGAAGCAGTCTTGCAAAAAATGGATGATATGGAGAAGATGCGTAGACGGCGAATGATGGAAGACCTTGGAGTGTTCCACGATGCAGAAGAAGTAGATACTAATTTATTTTACTATTTTTGTATAAGTAGTGTATTTCACACAGGGAAATTATTTAGTTGTAATTTTAATTTAGCTGAAATAACTTCTTCCAAAGAATAGTGTAGTCTAAAATAACATCTGTTTTTGCTCTCTAATTATAATTTCACATCTTACTGTTATGGTCATGCTACAGATATGCTCTAAGGGTGGAGGAAATATCTTCTTCAGAAGACAGGAAATAGCAGTGATATGTTGAAATACATGCCTTATACTACACTTTCTGAATTGCTTTACGATTTTTGAATGGACACTGTTTACAAACAGCTGTTTCAGGGCTTGGGTTTTCATTTCAAATCTTACTAAACACTGAATTCATTGATGTCTGCTTTATCTGTGTTTGTTCTTGTGCCAGCCTTGCCTGTGAGCTTAAGTAGTGCTCTGTCCCTAGAGGAACTTATGTTAAAATTATATACAGCAATCATATTTCCTCCATCTTAGTTTTTCTCTATTAAATTAAGTTCTTCTATTGTCTTTTTGAATGACAGGCACTTCATTTTTTTAAACATCTTCATAGCCTGCTTTCATAGTTTTTTGTTTAGATCTGAATTCCTTTTTTTTTTTTTTTTTTTTAAATGAAACTGGAACTGTCCATAGTACTTTGTATATCATCTCTCAAATGCCCATATGAATTTTTTTTTTGTCTGCTCGGAATTGCTTTTACTGGGTTTTGCCACACTTTTGGATTATTAACCTGTGATTAATTGATACACTTGGGTTTGGATCTGGATAGGTATTTAACTATCACACATACTAAAACCTATTTTAAAGCAGAAATTCTTGTTACTAATCATGTGTGCCAGAGTGATGTTCCTATTCTCTTCTCCTGTACCTTAATTTAATCTTTTGTGTATAGGGAGTGCCCTGATAATGTTGCTATATGGACACCAAATATACCCATGTCAGGTTTTCTGCATATTTGTGACTGATCTTTCTTGTTTCTTTTAATTAGGAAAACCTTGATATGCACTCCCGAGGAAAGAAAGAAATCCAAAGAGCTGACAAAGAAATAGCTGATAATCAAGGTGGCATTGTAGATTAGTTCTGTTTTAAATTTTCTTTACTATGCTCTAGACAAAGGCAAAAGCTTTATCTTAAACAATTGAGACGAGCTGAATTACTGGGTATTTTTCATCTATTAAAAAAAATCTGTGTTGCTATTGACATTACAAGCCATAGTCACGGACTCTAGGGCTGTACTGTCGTGAGCTCAGTACAGGTATTCAGAGAAAAAAAAAAAAATCGGTGCCTTTTCAAATGCTTACAAGATAAAAGGCAACAGATGGCTGTGGACAGGTGGGAATACAAAGAAATGGATTGTATTACTCAGAAATGAGAAAGAGTGATCTTGCTACAGCAGGAGCATGACAGTTTTCACGGTTTTGAGCAGCACAGCAAGAGTTTTCAGGAAGTAAGGGAAGCTGCCAGATGTGTCTGGAAAGCTCCTCCCGAGCGTGGAGATCAGTAGGGGAGAAGATAGTGGAGTTCATTTTTGTGTTTAGCAGGTAGTCAGTGGAAGCTGCTGTCCAGGCCTGTAATTAGGAGCTGTCATCCCTTTACTCAGTGGGAAATAACATGAGGAATAAGGTTAAATCATAAAAGGCTGTATTAACTTTATCTTTGAAGTGAGGGGGAAAAACTTTAAGGTTTTAAGGAGAATGGTAGTTGTGATTAAGGCAGTCAGTCCAACGATCCTTGTAGGCGCTTTCTGGATGGAACAGAATGGGGCAAGACTGTACTTACAGGACAGAAGAGGATGCGGCGATAGTTGAGCCGATCAGTGGTAGATTTTGTGCTAGACCTCCTCTCCACAACGGAGCTCAGAGAGACAGTGGCAGGAGGGGGAGCCCAAATAATACCCTGCCGGGCTACTCCCAGGCTCATCCTGGGGCCATCAGCCCATCAGAGTCCTATCTGCCCAAGCCCAGAGGAGCACAGGGGTGCACAATGGCAGGCAGGGACCCAAATCAAGCCGCCTTGTCTGGGCCCCTCCCAGGGCTGTCCCAGCAGAGCTATCAGCCCCAGTGTCCAGGCGTGAAACCCATCTGGAGAATCATGGGGAGCAGCTCTCCAAATCACCTTTTGGACTAAGGGGTTACTGCCGAGGGGTGGGACATTGTGGGATGCAGGGGAAAAGCAGTTCACACAGGACTTATTATGGGACCTTTAGGGCAGGAACCAAAGGCGGGACAAGGGAGGGGTTTAGCTGATTTTGGGAGGAACAGAAGTGGGAAAATAGAGGGGCAAGGGGATAAAAAGGACCAGTCACGTGTAAATAGTTTGCTGGTCAGTACGCTTATCTGACTGTGCCCTGTGCCTGATCACCTGTCTGACCATCAGACCATCAGAACTCAAATGAGAGATGATTTATGCAATACCCAGTGAGGACAGTATCTTGTACATGTTACACAGACTGTGGAAGACTTGACCACTGGTACTGGAGACCTACAAAAAGGTTCAAGCTAGATGTCCAGGTGTTAATGAGCACTGGGGTGATCTTGTTGCTAATCATGAACAGGCCAGAGAAGAGTCCATGGCCTGTTTTTAGGCCTGTTATTAGTTCAGACCTAGCCTGTGGCTCCTGGCTGTGCACCTCGGTGATCAGACCTCCTTGTAGAGCAGCAAGAGAACACTTGGAGCCACAGGAGGAGTCCAGCGAGAGGCTGACCTAAAGAAACCAAGGTAGGGCAAGGCATTAACAAAAATAAACATGATCGACTGTGCCAAGGCCATTTGACTGGTAAGGGAGAAGGACAGCTAACTCATCATTTGGAGATCTAGTTAGGAGAATACCAGCTCAAGGCCTTAATAAGAGCAGCTTTAATACAGGCATTGGCAGTCTAGAGGGAGGAACTATATGGCTTGGTTCAAGTGTGTGGATCTCAGGGTGTTGGGTGGCAGAGACTCGTAGAAAATAAATAGTATGTTGAATGGGAAATAAGAGTATGGGGCAATACATTTGTGATCAAAGTGAAAACTCTGGAATTTTAAATTAGGAAAAAACTAAAATATACTTTCATAATGAAAAACATGCCAGGAAGGAGTGGGGAAAGTGTGTCAGTGTTGGTGTAAAGAAGCTGAGTGGAACAAGAGGAAGGACTAGAGTAGCAGAAAAGCAGAGAAATTCATGCCTTTGTGACGGGAGTGTTGTAGTACCAAGGACTGGGGATGGTAGTGATGCCAAAATCATTTTTTAGTTTTCCATGTGCTGTCTATATGTCTTGTGTAACTTACCTTGCATTCAGAAAGCAGTGCGACCTTTTGGGGGGAAGAAGAAAAAGGGTAGTGTTTTCCAAGGAATAAAATTTACTTAATTTTAGTGAGCAGGTAGGTGAACAGAACATGTACATTCCTCACCTGGTGTCCAGTTATTAATGTGAGAGGGTATTGTTAAGAACCTGCTACACAATTATACTTTATGGTTTTTGCATTCTTACCAAATTTCATTAAAATCTTCAAGTTACTTTACAGAAGCTAGTGGCATAAACTGTATGCATTTGACATTATTTTCTGATTGGGGAAGTTCAAACCTGTGACTTGCCCATTATTGCTCATGTAATCTGTGGCAGAGCTAGGACGTTGAGCTAGATTACCATGCTTAGTCTTACCACTATAGAGTATTAAAAACATTTCCTTGAAACACTTTCTCAAAATTACAAGAAATGACTTTCTGAAATAGTGGTTTTCATAGGAGCTGCATCTTAGCTAAGCAAGATGACAGAATTGTTGTTACTAAGACTGATGAGAAGTCACCTAACAATCTCAGCAAGGACAGAACAATATCTGTATGTATGCTTCTCTGTGTTTTGTAATTTCTGGAATGTGTCTTGCATAAATTGGTCTTAAGGTTTTGCAGGTTTTCAGATCTATTGTGTCATTAACATGAAGGTAATAGTAAAACCTATAGGCATTTGTGTAGTGCATTTTGAATTTAATATAATTTGCAACAGTCCTTAAATAGTTTAATGTTATGTCGATGTACACTAGTTTCATCAGAAGAAAGTGAAGAGAAAGAAGATGATGATGGTGAAGATACTCGAAAACGTTATGACTTTCGACAGAGGAAAACTGTTGAGCGCTATCAAGCTCCATTGGAAAGTAGGTTATATGCACAGTTTCTCTTAAGAGCTGATTTCTTGCATATAAGTGAGATTTTTTTTTAATGAAAATATATACACACACTCAACTTCTATTTATATTTCTTACCTTTGTTCTGCAAGTAAATTTTATTAAATGCATGTATCCTGTGCACATTATATTTCTTTGCCATTTGGCATACTTATTGTTGTTTTTCAGTGAAAAAATGACCTATGTATCCTTGAAAGAATGGTAATTAAACAGACTTGATAATCCTACTCTTGTGGTTTTCAGTTCTCCTTAAAAAGCAGGTGTGTGTGTTTTTTCACTTGTACTGTGTACTGATTTAAAAAAAAAAAACAAAAACAAAAACAAAAAAACACCAAATCACTTGAAACTTCCCCTGAAATTAGAGATGGGTGAAACACATCACATTTTCTGCCTCTTTTACTGTCCTGCTTTCTCTTAAACTTGTTTATAACATTGTTCTGAATTCTTTGCTTTCAACAGAACCAAGACAACGTAAGATATATTTCTCGGGCCGGTCTTCACCTGTCAGACAGAGGTACTCATTTAGAAGTGCTCAGTCACAAGGCTCTTGCTGCAAAAGAACTAACAGGTTGGTGTATGGTTAGTGATAGTTCTTATTTATCAATAGTGCTATCAGTCACATTACTGAATAATGCTTTCAATTATTTTTTGGATTGCTGGTAATTACAGATTAATGGTATGATTATTGCTGCAGTAGTCTGAGGGTATAAAAAAACCAAATATTGCTGGGCGGAGACTATACTTTTTAGTAGCCATTAGATTTTTTTTAAATGCAGTATTTGTGGTCACTGATAAGGTGATTATGGAGGTCGTAGCTGAGATTGTGTAACTGAAATTCTTTTGTTCTGGAATTGAAGCCAGAATCTCCCTCTGAAAATCTTAGACTATTTAATCTTGAAGGATACAAATTATTTTCTTAAAACTAAAGAAAATTTGATTAGAGAGAGAGCCTGTATGGAAGTTTTAGTGGATTTTTTTTTTAATCACTCAAATACTGATTCTGGTTTCTCTTTGGAATCAGTTAATGTTTCTGTATGAAACTATCCTTAAACAAGAAAAATGCTAAAGTAAATTATAAATTATAAATCGCAGTAGTAATGACAAAGGAGTTTTGGATCCTGTAAGCTGTTAAGAGCATGGAAAATGCCATCTCTTGCTAGATATGAGCACTTTGTTTAGCATCCTTGAAAGCAGGCAATTATGGAAGGAAGGGGTTTTGAAGCCGAATATTTAAATAAGTTAAAAAGGTTTATGTTTCACAGAGTGGATACATAATGCTAAGTGAAACTCGATTTGTGTGTGTGTGAGAGAGAGAGAGAGACAGAGATTGGACAAAATGAGTAATTTGTTTATGAAATTTCTTTGCAAAATAGTTAAACATTTTACCTTCCTAAGAAAAAATAAATTTGCTGTCACAAGGAAAATCATGTAATGTACTTTGAAACCACATTCATAAGGAGTACAATGATCTGGAAACTTAATAGATTTCAAAGTAAATTCTGAGATAGAATTCACTTAAATTTTGATATTACTTAGTGTGTACTTTAGTTTTTTTACTTGTTTGTTTAAATGTTTGCAGACGGAGACACGCAGTCCACAACAGTGATTCCACTTCCTCTTCCTCATCATCCTCATCTGATGATGAAGAGCATTTTGAGAGGCACAGGAAGCACAGCCGTAACAGAGATTTAAGAAGGTTAATGTAATTGGAGAATAGGGGAGGGAGGAATCTACTTGGGAGGAGTTTGCATCTGCCTAACCGTGAAGTGCTATCCTCTTGATCTTGTAAAGTTTCTAAATTGGGGCAATATTTAATCATATCTGTTGATACTGACAACTGTAACTGGACTCTCTAAAATTGGATTTTTAGAATTTGTTTTTGATAAGCATTTGATTTCTAGATGGGAATAGGGGGAGGAACACTTCTATGTAATTTTTTTAATGTAAAATTCTACTGCTCCTGTGCTTTACAGTAGTTTATTCAGAAAGAAAACCACCGTAACAGAAAATGTTATAAATAGAGGAAATGGCAGAAGTTTTGTTACTTAGCAAATGCTCTAGAAAAACTATTTTAGTAACAATAACAAATAAGTTTTCAGCCAGATGTTTTTCAGACACATGTGTCTTCTGGCACACACATCCCAAAGTCCTTGGGAAGGACAAGCAGTGGTGGGCAGCCTTTATAATGTTAATCTACACTGAAATAAGTATCCCCGTGGGCTGTAACTTTTGAATGTAGAAGCAAAAAATCTTTGAAAGATGTCAGTGTGTTTTGGGGGGTTCTTCCATCATACAAATCAAGGTCAGTTCACAGTCTCCACGTACGGAGTAACTTGTTCTAAGCTTGCATTCATATATGTGCTGTGTTGACTGGTATGGATATTCATAAGTGCGAAGAGTTGTTAAAATAATTAACTCAGTTTAATGTCTGGAGCAACCATTTTCCTTTATATACTCATGGACATTAAATGTAAAACAATTTGAACAAATATTTAACTATTTGGGAAGTTTATGCTCATTTATAAGGTCTCCTGCATTCACTTGCCATCATTATAAAAGCAAAAATCTTCTAGCTGCATCTTAAGTTAGAAAGCACTTTTCTCTTTCTCCTTAATTCAAATCAGGTGTCTTCCACTAAACTTTCGGCAAGATGAGTTAAAGGGAATTCACAAGGATCGAATGAAAATTGGAGCAAGTCTGGCTGACGTTGATCCAATGCAAATAGATTGCTCAGTAAGTATTTTTAATTCATTGTGTCAGTGAGATGTTTCCAGTGTTTATGAAAGCTTTCAATAACGTGCTGTCGACAACTGCCTTGGTTTACAGTTTCCTCTCAAGCGATTTGAAAATTGCCCAGAATATTTCCTTTGTGCTGACATATAATTTCTGATGGAACCTTATCAAGGTTGCAGCTTTCTTTAACATGTAAAATGTGTTCTGTTGAATTTATCTTTAGGTACGATTCGATGGTGTGGGTGGTCTTTCTGACCACATTTCAGCTTTAAAAGAGATGGTCGTTTTTCCATTGCTTTACCCAGAAGTCTTTGAGAGATTCAAAATTCAACCTCCAAGGTAACAGACATTGTTTAAAACTATAAATTCTAATTCACCCACTTTCAGGAGAATGTTCAACTGAGGTATCAATATGTTTCCATGCTTCAAAATTTTTAGCAGTGTTGATGGGGTTTTTTAGCAGTAGTAAAAAGTAATTTCTTATATGCTGGATTCTATCCATTTTTATGTAAGTTCAAAGATTTACTGTGTGGTGAGAATATACCTTAAAGTGTCTTGCCTTTAAAAGGTGCGTTTGGGGTGATTTTGTTTTCAGTCCTATGTACAAGTCAACTTGATTAGTTTATAAGCAGGAAGGAATTATCTACTGGTAGTCAACTGTAATTTGTTCCTTGGGAGTCCAGTTGTCTCTCCCACCGACTCTTTTTTTCCAAGTGCTCAAGTATCAGTTTTACAACTGATAGGACTTACAAATAGATCCTTGCAGTGTTTGTTGTGCTTGGGCTAAAATAAGAATCTTTCCACACAGCTAAATTAGTTCTGTATTATGAAATGAAATTATTAGAGATTTAATTGTTAGCTTTATATATTCTTGGTCAGCAAAACTCAATCATGGTATATTGAAATATGACTTCAAATTCTTTGCTTTCAGTAACTTTAAAAGTATTACAAATAATGAAAAGAAAATCTTTCAGTGTTTTGCTTCTTTATTCATTGAAATTATTTTTAAAACAGCAGTGTATTGGCTTTTCTAGTTGATGGCTATATTTATCTGGAAATGCAGAATACCCTCCCAGCTTTAGACTTCCTCCTCGTTTATCATCAGCAATGGATGGTCTGGGAAACCAAATCCAGTAACTTAACGCTTTTCAAGGGAGAGTGAAATGCTTTACTATCAAATCTTGCCTTTTGTGAAAACAAGAATGACTATGCATTGTATCATTGAAGAATGAACCGGTGACTCAAAAGTTAGCCCAGTCTCAGATTCTGTGCTGAAGTGTGTTCTTGTTTGGCTCCATTGTGCTGTAACCACCCCTGTTAGTTTGTCAGGAGTTTCAGGAGTGTCCTGGGACACTATGATCTTTTCTCAAGGTTTTGTACATCTGCATTGTCCTCTTTATTCATTTTGTTTACTGCCTTGTTGAATTGTGTAGGAACACAAAACTTCCATCTGTTTTGACTTTTTTCACACTTCAGCTGTTACCGCTATCTTACACATGAAGTGTTTTGGTTAGAAGATAAGAGTTGTGTGTCTTAGGGATGGGGGTTGTAACCAATACTTTTCCATGATGTTTTTTTCTTATGTGAATTTTTTTTTTTTTAATTGCAGAGGCTGTCTATTCTATGGTCCACCGGGGACTGGAAAGACACTGGTTGCTCGTGCACTTGCTAATGAATGTAGCCAAGGTGACAGGAGAATAGCCTTTTTTATGAGAAAAGGTGCCGACTGCCTGAGTAAGTGGGTAGGGGAATCTGAACGACAGCTTCGTTTATTATTTGATCAGGTAAGGTTGAAATGTGCTGTGTGTTCTGTCCGAACTGTAATTTTCTGTGGTCAATATTTTTAAGAACAACTCACTCCTTTTCATGTTCTGTCAGTTCCTTCCACTGAAGTGGGTTTGTCAGTGTTTCCTTTTTCATTGGGTTTTTTAGCTGAGATGTATTGGGAAAGACTAATAAAACAAATGAGAAAACCTCACAAAGCAACCCCTCCTTTCCCCAAAAAAAAAAAAACAAACAGCCGCAAAAAAGGTTGCAAGAGGCAAGAGATGGTGGCTTTAGACAGAGCAAAACAGATGCAGGCTGAAAGCATGGTCATTTAAATTCATAACGGAAGCTTGCTTCCAGGACCTGTAATTGAATTAAGTCCCAGCTCTGCTCTTGGTGGTTGCCAAATAGCTGTAAAAACTACTGGTATGATTTGTTTCCTGTCACCCAGTCTCAGTGGGTTGACATAGGCTGCTGCCTTCTGTTACTCATGCCACTTACACCATTAGCTCAATTAGTAGAGATCCCTGATGCTAGTCTGAAAAATCTAGTTCCAGTGACTTTCCAACCACAACATTTTTCATGCATTTTCTATTTAAAATAGTGCTGTTTGACTTATGTCAATATTCCTGCATTTTCATTCTAGGCCTACCAGATGCGACCTTCAATTATTTTCTTTGATGAGATAGATGGCCTTGCTCCTGTGCGGTCCAGTAAACAAGACCAAATTCATAGGTAGTACATTTTTTGTATGTACATAGAAGCTGCTTGACCTTTGTGAAAAGACCATAACGTATTTAACTTTATGTGACACATTCATTTGTCCTGAAAACTCGTAATTCAATGCTACTAAATTTCAGATGATTTTTAAACAATAATTGAAAACAATTCACTAAGCTTAATATCAGCATAAGGCCTGTGTTACCTTATGTATTTTTTTATGTCTTAAAACGAGTCTTTCACTAATCAGCATCTCATCAATAAAAGCTTGTCCTTTTTGAGTGATCATTGGAGAAGGTCATGTAGAACGTAACAAAATTTACTAAACCGGTGAATGAAAATTGTATTTTTCTGTTAGCTCTATTGTATCAACACTTCTGGCACTTATGGATGGCTTAGACAGCAGAGGAGAGATTGTGGTAATCGGAGCCACCAACAGACTGGATTCTATAGATCCTGCTCTACGAAGACCCGGACGCTTTGATCGAGAGTTCCTCTTCAGCTTGCCAAATAAAGAGGTCAGAACTTAAACAACTTAAACTCAACCTTAATGCTAATGTGGCAACGTCCATCTTTATAACAAAATCATGTAACAATGCAGTATCACGGAGCAGTTAAAGTCGAAATCAGTATTGTACCACTTGGACAAGAGAGGGATATTGGAGAGACTGCGTTGTACTGTGGAGGGCAGATCTGGTACTGAATATATATGATTATGATGATTTCAACAAATAGTTCTGTAATTAGTTTTGGTTTCATTGTGACCAGCCAAGAAAATGGGATGCTGCTAGTCACTGAAATGTTTAAGTAAGAATGAATGTCTGAATTAGCTATAAATTACTGCTATCTCATCTTGAAAATGAAAGAAATGGTGTGCACACAAGAATTCCTTTTTGCTAACAAAAACTTTTATCCAGGCTGGTGCTCGAGCAAATTAAAATTTTTCATTCCCAAAGTGGTTCATGTTTGCTTATTTATTTAATCCACTTAGGCACTTTCACCCTGAAGTGCTCTTGCTCTCAGTTCTTGGTTTATGAATGGATAGTGTTGGATTGTTCCCAGGCTGGGTATCCTGGGAGATACCTATAAGTATTTTGGGATCTGACATTCTTACTGATACTTATTAACAGGGAGTTGGACAAAGATGTGAAGTACACTGCACAGGTGCAGGGCTGGGGAAGCTTCTAGTTCAATGGCAATAGCTAAGCAATGAGAAAATAGGTATATAGCAACTAAAAAATATTGGGGGGGAAGGTAGTGTGCAAAACTGGAACCCTGTTTTTGTGGTTTGTCTCTGGCTATCACTGATACTTCTTTTTCTTTTACTACACTTTTTGGAAAAAGGATAAAATACTTACTGGATTGAAGGCTAGTAAAAGTGCACTGAACATTTGTCTCCAGTTTTTATCTGCTTTCAGGAACAGGAGAGGAGGTCCCATGAAACAGATATAATACATGATTCCCTAGTGTGGAAGAATTCTAGAAATCTGCCATAATTAATCTGTGTACCAGGAAATACTTAAATGAAAGTCTTGCTAAGATCAGAGATGAAGATAGGCAACATTTGACATTTTCTGGATCGGTGACAGTAGTTTAAGTCATAATTACTGTTCTTCTTTGTAGTAATTGTAGCAATTTGAAATGTAGTGCTAGGACTGTTTTCCTTGAATGAACTGGCAGAAAAATAAATTTGATAAACTAATGAGACTGTCACCATGAGATTTTGCTAAAGTTGTGAGAATATTCTTTGATGAAAAATCTCTGTTTGCAGATACGTTTTTTTACTACAATTTTTTCCTCAGGATCATTAGGTCTCATACTTGTGGAAACTTACTTTTTATGGAAGCTATAAATGCCTTTCATTTCACTGCAGGCTCCCAGAAAGAGTTTAATGTAACAAATTGAGAACTATTATATTTCCTGCTTGAAAAAGCAGAGAGCGTATTAACTGAACTTTAAAATACTTAGAAGTTTAGCAGATAAGAAAAGTATTTGTATTAATGTGAGGGGTTTTGGGGTTTTGTGGTGTTTTGGGTTTTTTTAAGAGAAAACTTAAGACAAACTAAAATGCAACCATTTTGTTTCCAGGCTAGAAAAGATATTTTCAAGATTCACACACGAGACTGGACTCCTAAGCCATTGGACGTGTTTCTTGAAGAGCTAGCTGAAAAATGTGTTGGTAAGTTTGAAAACAAAGTGAGTTGCTGCATGTGACTGAGTCCTAAGAAATCTGAGCTTGTACCAGGCAGTACCCAGGCTCTTGTGCCTTGCTGCAAAGCGAGGCAGTGAGGCAGCTGGCACGCCTTGGGAGCAAACGAAGTTAGATGCTTCTTTTAATTTTCTTTTCGTCTCTCAGAACATTGAATGGGTTTGGGGCATCTTCCTCAGGAGCAAAGTTTTGATTAGGAGGCTGCTTCATAAGTGCCAGATATCAGGCTGCAAGCCACGTAACAAAACTTCTCTGCAGTGCAGTAACTCTTTAAATTCTCTCTTAACCTGTTAATTTTTGGCTGAAGTCTTTCAGTGTTGTACTTTGGAAACCTTGACCTTCTGTGTTGCCTGAGACTGACGTAACATTTGATTCTTGTTTTGCTTATTAGGATACTGTGGTGCTGATATTAAATCCTTATGTGCTGAAGCTGCCCTCTGTGCTTTGCGCCGCCGCTATCCTCAGATATACAAAAGTAGTGAGAAACTGCAGTTAGATATCACTTCTATTAAAATAACAGCAAAGGATTTCGTCATGGCCATGCAGAAGACTGTTCCAGCTTCACAGAGGGCTGTGGCTTCACCTGGGCGAGCGCTATCACCTATTTCAAAACCACTGCTTGAAAACATGCTAGCAAGAATTTTACAAGCCTTGCAGAGAGTATTTCCCCATGCAGCGCTTGCACTAAAGAAGGACCAGCAGCAAGGTATAACAATAACATCCACTTATTTAAAATTCTGCCAAAGCAAAAACTTCTGATTTGTGCAGTCAACATACACAAGCCTCTTAGCCGTAATAACAATAGAATTTTATAATATGCATGTGCATGCCTTTATTTCAGGAATATCGTGCATAGTTTTTATTCTGCATTCTAAACTGAAGTGCTGGATGGGAGCTGGGAATGACTCGCAATACGCAGTAGAGAACTATGTGTTCGCTACTAGAGCAGCCTGTTTCTGGCAGTAGCTAACATATTTATCATTTGTAGAGATGGATTTAAGGTTTAATGTATGAGGCACCTCTTTCAAAATAAATATTTAAATGGGGGGGGAAGGGCATTTTTATATGAATGCTTCTAATTCCCGTCTGAAGAATGTTAGGACCACAATACAAGTATAAGTGGTTTAAGCTAAATACTGTTTTAGCTATCATGATTTTTAACCATAGTCTCTCAGTTTAAATATTTGTGGATCACATTGTAGACTTCCATGTGAGATCAGAACGTTTTAGTAGTGTATACTTTAGGGCTTGGCTTGCACAGCATATGTGAGCTCACACTCCTGACTGCATCAGCCTTGATCAGGTTTAGTCTGTCAGTTGGTGAGAGCAAATAAATTGATAAACTCACTCCAATCCTGATTAATGGAGATCCATGAATAGTTAGTTGTTATGCGAATCCCTTGAGAATATCCTACCAGTATTACTCCCAGTAGAGCTGGGAGATAAGTTTGCATTGGTAAAATAGAGGCAGAAATCCACTAACAAAATAAAAGCAGTGAGGCTACAGGATTGGTAATTGCATCCCCTTTCTGTTTTCCCCCTTCCATTTTCTCCTCCTTCGGTGATCTTTGAGGAGCCTTATTTAGAAGATGTGTTAGTCTATATATTCTGACTCACTAGTCCTAGACAAATGGAAGTCTACGGCCATCACATTCACTTAATTCCCCCACTTCCAGGGGGGCAACCTGCTCCAGAAAGAAGTGGCCTCGTTGGGTTTTTCAAGTGTCCAGGAACTACAGAAGTTGTTTCTAATCATTTTTATTCTAAGGAAAAAACCTCCCAAGTTTTCACCAACAGAGAGACGTACCTTATGCAAATCATGGGATGTAGGGCAGCTTTGTAGAGACTTGTGCAATCTCCTTAGATCTGTGGTAGGATGAACTCTTCAGAAAATAGCATTCAGCGTGTGCCCTCAAATGAAGAAATACAAGATAAGGGGTTTCCAGCACTGATTTAGAAGCTGTATTAATGCGAGAGCGAGATATGGATTATTTAGGAAAGTTAACAAACCTCTCTTGTCTTTCAGACAGTTTAAATCACATTTTAAGAAACAATGCAATTGACAGTGATGAGGAATCACCATCAATCTTTGAAGATAAGCCAACGCATAAAATGCCTGGTAGACAAAAGGAAAAATTTCTCAATTTTAGCAGGTAAATGTTTGTCCTCTTTATGTTTACATTTTTAAGATGGCTGGGTCTGTGAACAGTTTTGGCATGAGGGGTGGTACATGAAGGAGTAAAATGTGTGTGTGGGGGGGGTGATCAATATTTGCAAGAAGTAAGTGTGAAGATCCAGCTGGGTACTAATGTTCTAATGGAGTACACTGCCATAACCCATCAAACTGAACAGCCCAGCCCTCTTTTCCTAAGTCAAAGTGGTCCACAGACTATTAGAACGTGTTGATTGAATCCATGGTATTCCTTGAAAGATTAAAGACCAAAGAAATGTGCTGTCTGTCCTTTTAATGAAAAAACCTGTATGGATTTGTGTAGCCATCTTTTGTTGCCCTTCTACCTTCCAAAATTGTTTAACCAGTATCAAATTATGTAGCAGAAACAAAATTTAGAAATGGTTTGTTAAAACACTGTGAGAAAAACTTAAACAATGTCTGCATTTTGTACCTTTAACCTACTAAGTTTATATTGATCTTTTGACTCATTTTAATGTGGAAGTTGTATAAGCCAACAGTTGAAAAAATAGATTTTTGTCGTCAGTGTTGGGTCAGTTATTTTTCTCAATTTCTATTGCTGTGCTGTCCAGAAAATCTTCTGACCTGCTGAGCTTGGTTAGGTCTCTAGGATCTTTGACTTCAGCCAGCAAAGGTACAACAGTATTGTGGTGGAAAAAACAAATGCTCTTCACGAATGTGTTTCATGCTAGTAAAGCAAGATTACAAGGAAATTAATACACAATTCAAAGATGAAACAATTAAAATGACTGAATAAATTAAATATAAATCTTATACATATTTAGTGTACTGCTGTAATTTAACCAGTCCAATTGTGTACTACTTCAGATACAGCTAATGTATTTCAGTGCCCACATTAATTTTTTTCTAGAAACGTTGTTCTGCTCCTTCCTTCGCACTATCTCCAGTAACTATGGCCAAATTTCAGCTAAACTTGAGTGATGTAGAGATCTCACAGTTACTTAAACTCAAGACCTACTGAAAACTGGTGTGTACGGGCGGTGAAGAGATCCAGATTGGTGTGTGCTGAGAGAGAGAGAGTTATTTTTCCCCATACCAGGTTACTGACCAGTTGCCGTGTGTGTATTTAGCTGGACAGTCCCCCTGCTGTTACTTAATCCAGCCAAACAAATAGCAGTCGTGCTGGGGATTGGCAGGATTTCTTAGGGGAGTTATGGTACAAGTTTGTAAGAAAATGGGCTTTGATAGTCTTCCTGATGACAGGCCAGCTTATTATTTGCTGGAATATGGAGAGTATTTACAAAAAAAACCAAAAAGTATAGGAAAAAACCTTTAACATCTGTGTGCCTATTCATCATTTCATTTTTAAACTTATTTTCTTCTTCTTGTTCTAGAAATGCTTATTACCAGCCAACATCTTGCAGGCCACGGTTCTTACTAGTTGGAGAGCCAGGATATGGGCAAGCTTCTCACTTGGCACCTGCAGTAATACATGCCCTTGAAAAGTTTCCGGTTTATACACTAGACTTATCTGTTTTGTTTGTTAGCATCACATCACCGGAAGAAACATGTGCACAGGTATCTTTTTTTCTCTTCAATCTCATAGGATTCATGAACTGTATATAAACTAGCAAAGTAAGCAAAATTCATTGTTAATGAAGGTGGCCTGGTTTGAATGTGCTGTTATATTTACTTCTGTCTGAAAATCCACTTCTAGATCGAATGATACCGAATAAGGATGTCGTACAGGGCCATATTTTCCATTCCAAATTAAACAGTGAGGATGTTGCTAGCAGCTCGGGAAGCTGGGAGGTGCTCCTAATAAATTCCTCTTTGTGGCAAGAAATCCTGCCCATCTCGGTGGGATCCAGAAAGTTGTTTTCATTGCTTTTTAAGAGTCTGTGCTTCCAGTAGATGGCTCTGCATCAGCCTGACTGCATCATGCATTTTTTGTAGCCTTTTTTTATAATATCTGTAAGGCAATCAGGGTTTGGGGGGAAAAAAAGTGTTTCTTTTTTTACATATACAGCTTCTACTGCTGCAGTATATGCAGTAAAAGCATTAAAATTCATGGAACACTTACATTTGTACACTGGTGTGTTTTTCTTAACTAGGAAAATTAAATATAAGCAGATTTAGTGCTGTTTTCCTTTTTACTTCTAGGCAGGAAATCCATTTAATTGTTTGGCATCACTGTATTAAAGTATTTTGACCTTTAGTAGCAGCATTTGAGAGCCCTACAAGTAAGGACAGACACGTTACGTGACTGGATACTCATTTGTCACATAAGAGGAACAATTCCTTTTTTGTTATGTGATGGTTGCATCTGCAGTCATGTAACTACCATGTCTAGTGGCTGCCCAGATATGCCACGTGCGCTTCCCATCTTACGACAGGAACTCCCTGAATATTGATAATCTGAAAGGGTGCACGAAGAAATTTGTCATGTGAAAGGACTGTTGCCACGTCCCTCATGCAGTAGATGCCTGTCCTCTTCTATGATTGAGGTACCATCTGTAGGCAATGGCTTGTGGTCTTCCAAAGCACTTAATCTGGTCTGATGGATCCTTTGGTATTGAGAGGCTGTGAGTGATTTAGCTATTCAGGCAGGCTGAAGATTTGTCACCTCTTATAAAATGTACTTGAAATTATGAATTGTAACCAGGCTTCTTCTGCAGTGTCAGCCCTCGTCTTTTCACGTAGGTCTTTCTTTGTTCATACTGTGCTCCATACTGACTTGGATATGTGCCCACTTTGAATTGAAAATGGTGTAGTCGCAGTCATGTAGCGATTTACCCAGACTAATACATCTTGCTGAAGGGTTAGTCTTGTTCTTTCAGGCACACCACCAAACCAGCTGAGTTGTGAGGCTCTTTAGGAGTCATCTTACACCTAAGTAGTTTTGAAATCAGGCAGAGATTCAGGTCTGTTTCTGTCTGTGTAGCAATATCTATATTTGAGTCAAAGTGAAAATTTTACCCTATTGTTAAGGAGTTGTTCTTTTGTTGGTTTATTTTGATGTTTTGGCTTCATGTACTCCTATTTCGTAAGACAGTTTGACTGATACGTAGTTATTTATTAGCCTATTCTACCTGGTTTAGTTTTCTTATCCAAGCTTTCATTTTACCAGTTGATGCGAGAAGCTCAAAGAACAGCACCGAGTATAATTTATATCCCACATATCCATTTGTGGTGGGAGGCTGTTGGAGCTACATTGAAAGCTACTTTTACAACACTACTGCAGAACATTCCAACATTTGCTCCAGTTTTGCTGCTTGCAACATCTGATGTGTGTCATGTAGATCTCCCAAAAGAGGTATTTCTGTTGATACTTTTCTGACTCGTTTTTTCAATTTCTTGTTAATTTATAAATCCTTTAAGCATTGGAGTACTCTGCACTCTTAAGCAAATTCATACTGTTATTACTCAGGCACCCTAACCAGGTCTCTTAAAATTTGCTTAGAGAAAACAATGCCGAAAGCATTTGTCTAAAGTGTTTTCCGAGTAAAGAGATTGACTTTGACGCAACTTTTTCTCCTTTCTCACACACTCATGCTTATTAGACAGATGTGTAAATTTACTTCAGACAATAATTCCAGTGACTTCAAGATAGTTAGGTATGTACTTAGTCAAGAATATATGGTGCTTGAAATGTAAATGGGAAAAAGGTATTTTTACTGAGAGGTGAAAGATATTTTTACTGAAAAAGTACAGTGGTCATACTGTTAATGATGGAATGTAATTTCAAATTTAAATTCTTTAATAAAAATTTCAATTTCTTTCTTCATATAGGTGAAAGCTTTACAAATTAGAAAGCCAAGTTCCAACTTCTGTTTAAGTAACTTGGAAATCAATTTTTAGTTGTATTCCTTAACAAAATTCAGTAAGAGTAGACGCTTAGCTTTCTAGATATGAGATGCTTTAGTTGTATTCCTTAACAAAATTCAGTTAAGAGTACACGCTTAGCTTTCTAGATATGAGATATGCATTAAAGGAAGGTGTTCAAAATGTGAATATGCTGCTCTGTTTATTTTGTCTCAGTTACTGGGGGGGGCTGTTACCTAGATGTGTTTATCATCAAATGCTTTGAAAGGGCTTAACGTTCTACAGAAGTTTTTATACTGTTAATAAATTCCTTCTAAAATAAGTATGGAAATTTCTTCCATACCTTTTGGCAGTAGAGACTGAAAAATGAAGTAAAACTTGGAAGTATGCAACTTCAGACACCTCATTTAAATTAATTTTAAAAAAAAAAAAAAGCAAACCCAAACCAAACCAAAACAAAAAAACCCAAACACCTTACCAAAAAGCCCACACGTGTCTCGTGAACCCTGCCTGTTCCCTCTATAGCTGCCATAAAGATTCAAATTAAAGGACAGAAGGCAGGTAAATACAAAATAAGCAGTCTTGGAGGTAGTGAATGTCACCACTTTATCAGTGTATCATATGGTCCCTTCATTGGGCTTTAACTCTAGAGGTGTACCTTAGAGAAGATAGTTTAATTTGCCATGCTAACCTATGAAAATCCAGCCTTTTAAGGCCAAAAAGACAACTTTTCACAGTTTGTCTTATCCAGATGATTGTTCAGTTTAATTTAGAAAGGTACTCATCTTTTTGGAATAGAATATGAATTTGTGTGGCCTTATATCTGAAATATCTTTTCTCCTCATGCTTTAGGTAAAAGAATTGTTTATTAATGATTATGAAGAAGTTTTCAAAATCCAGTTGCCTAATAAGGAAGAAAGAAGAACGTTTTTTGAGGACTTAATTTTAAATCAAGCTGCTAAACCTCCTGCATCGAAAAACACCACAGGTGAGGATATGCTACTTTGCTAACTGTAAGTTAATAGCTATACAGTATTTGCTTTGGTGGTAATTTTATATCAATAATTTTTCATATGCTTGTATTTGAGTTCCATAAATTGACTAGAAGTTTCTGATTAATTTAAGCTTGGCAGACATTGGAAGTACTGCCTGTAGCACCGCCGCCTAAACCTCGACAGCTGACAGAGGAAGAAATAAGACAGCTGGAGGAGCAGGAGGAGGATACGTTGCGTGAACTTAGGATTTTCTTAAGGGATGTGACTCACAGACTTGCCGTTGACAGACGTTTCAGAGCATTTACAAAGCCTGTTGACCCAGAAGAGGTAAATTAGTGTTGATCTGTAATATCATTTTATCTGTATGTATTCATAATTTCTCTGTGTTTGTATTTCTCAGTGTTTGTGTACTCTTTATAGGAAGGTTTATCTTTGTTTTTAGGACTGTACTATTCCGATTTTTCAAGAAGCAGGAAGTAAATTTTGCTTTTACTTTTGCTGACTCTTTGAGGCTCACTGAAAGCCCCAGGTTCCTTCTAAAACGTCTTTAGAACTTTAGAATATTTCAGTTGGAAGGGACCTACAACGATCATCTAGTCCAACTGCCAGTTAGACCAATGCCAACACACCAAAAGGCTTTGATATGTAGGCATGTTACAGCACTGAAAAGCAGAAAGATCTCTTTCTTTATAATTATAAACAGTATCTATATGACTGTTTTAATAAAGCCTAAAGCTCTTTAATTGACTGTCAATAGTTTCTGTGAGAACAGGAGTAGAAGTAGCAGTTTTTAAAATAAATTCTAAGATTGTATTCTTTGTATCATCTGGGGCTCCTCAGTATAAGATCAACCATAAGGGCTGTGTGGTTTCTTCTTCCTCCCATACACTTGTTATGTCTCTTTTTCTCATTTAATTTATTGAATAAGTCTAAGCCAGGGGCATATACTTCAAAGTCAGCTGTAGTTTTAATACAGCTTTGCATTTCAGCAAAGTCCTGTTCCCCTAAGCATCCACTGAGTTGTCTTTCCCTTTACTTCTGGTTTCTGAGATGTGAATAATCTAAACAAACATAGATGTCCTCATCTAAACTAGTCATTAGGCTTCTTATATGGTCTGAGTAAAGAAATCAGCAGCTCTGGGTCCAGTTATCTCATTCTAAAGTAGATGCCTAGGACAGATACTACAAAGGTGCAATTTCTGGAGCCTTTTCTTGCTGCCAACAACACAGAGAATCTCGGGTGACTTTACCGAGAAATGTTTCTTTGCTGTGATTTTCTGAAGTGAAGTGAAATAAATCCCCCTCTGGGTGTCTGATTCCTTCTCCGCCCCACACATGCTTCTGACCTCCCTGCTTCTTTTTTTCCCTCTTCTGGTCTGTGTCTTCAAAGCCAGTTGAAATAGCCCTTCTATTTTCAAGAAACTAGCTGGTTAATTTCTGCATCTTTGGATGTGTCATAAATATTGGGGTTTTTTAAGAAGTCCTTTATCTGACTTTATTAAAATAATTAATTTTGGTAGATACTATGTTAAATCCCTGAGCATGTATATTTCATTTGTAGGTACCTGATTATGACGCAGTTATTAAACAGCCCATGGACCTGTCGGCAGTTCTCTCTAAAATTGACTTGCACCAGTACCTAACTGCAGGAGACTTTCTAAAAGACATCGATCTAATCTGTAGCAATGCTTTAGAGTACAACCCAGATAAAGACCCTGGAGGTGAGGATGTGTTTTTATCCCTGATTTGGAAAAATTTAAAATGTATAAATTGATAAATGTTGTCTGTGGAGAGTAGACTTGGGATTAGATAATTTTAAAGATCCACAGAGAGCATTTCTTGCCAGGTTGTAAATGTTGTAGCATTAAACTACTTGAGCATGAAATTGTGATAGAAGTGTTGATCAGTAACTAGTGCTTTTGCTTTAATAATTAACTTTTATGTTGTTATGCTGAAAATAGTCACTGAGATAACCTTTCAGAACCTACCTATGAAAAGAGCAAAATCTTTCTAGGTAATCAAATAAAGGATTTCATTGGCTGGTAGAAAATACTCAGTTCTGACTGTAAAATTTCAGATCGCCTCATTAGGCACAGAGCTTGTACTTTGAGAGATACTGCATATGCCATAGTGAGGGAAGAAATGGATGAAGATTTTGAACAACGCTGTGAAGAAATTCAAGAATCTCGTAAGAAAAGAGGTGTGTTTTTTGACGCTAAGGATTTTAAGACTTGTCTCAGTATTTGTAACCAACAATGCAAGGCACAATTCTTTGCTATCTGTTCTTTATTGCAAGGTTGTAGCTCTTCAAAGTATGCTCCATCTTACTACCGTGTAATGCCAAAGCAGAACTCTGTTCCTGGGTGTAAGAAAGCAGACCCAAAGTGTAATGAAAAAACGAAGATGCCAGCAGCGCCTGTAGATTGCAGTACACCCCGCCCTAACGGCAAGTTGCATTTTATTCAGACTTTCTTGGAGAAGGTGCTAAAGTCACTGATACGTTCTCTGTTCTTGTGACATAACAGGTTTCTGTGATGCCTGCTGGTTCTTCATGCCAGAAGCATTACATTTTTTTAATTTGCTTCAAAATGTGAGTTAAATCCAGAGGTCATTCATTCAGTATGGTTACGAAGCTCACGAACAGTGGTTGATTTACATTGTAAAACACTGGCCTTGATGGCCTAAATTGCTACCTCTTGAAGTAAAAAATGTTGTACATGGCAGTTCCTGAATATTCAACTAGTTTTTAGTTATATGAAACAGTATTTTTCCCTTCCCTGCCCTCAAATGCTAAAATCTATGCCACTTCTTACTGTGATTTCCAATTGAAGGGGGAAAGGGGAAGAAAAAGGGGAGCAATAATAATAGATATGTAAAGGAAAGATCATTATTTCCTCACTTTTCTAATGAAAAAGACATGAAAGAACAAAGGGACTTGGGTCTTTTTCAGTTAAAATGCATGACATGGAGTGAAGTTTCCTGGTCTCACTGGCATGACTGGGAGTTTTGCCACTGACTTCACCCATACGCTTTGTGCAGTACTCCATGAATACAAAGAATGGTGGGTTTCTCTAGAGGGCAAAAATGCGGTTTGTTTTAAACAAGGTTAACTGAATCAGAAAGCATACGAGGTGTAGTCTTTACGGACAATTTTTTCTCCAGCAAATATTCCCTTAAAATTGTTTCTAACTCTGCCCAATGTGTGTTTAGCTTTTGGAGTTCACAGCTTTATAACAGATTTGAAGAAGGGCTCATCTCCAAATGCTTTTCTGTTGTTCATTTATATTAGTTCACGTAGTAAGACAGTAAGCAACTTCACCTAATAACCTTGCTTTGTAGTAATACTTTCTATCTTAAGTAAGAATTTTCTGCTCATAAAATCTTGAAGCTGATGGTTTTGTGAATTAAATTCTGTAGCTAGCTTTTTAAAATCTAATAGCAAATTGACCTCATTAACTTGCAGCTCTTTCTCTAGACACATGTAGGGAGACAGACAATGGTACTTGAGCTCCTTTGATCATTTTCCTTGTAAGTCAAGTAAGATGAGGATGCTAGATTTTGAAGGAAGAACTGTTTTGGTAATGTTTTGGATTACTTTTTCTGATATCTCTTTGTAGATATGTCAAAAAGAAAACGCAGAAAGAACAAAGGGTCTTCAGGTGTCGCAACAAAGAGGAGGAATTTTCAGTTCAATAAAGAGAATAAAGTTCCGGAAGACCAAAATGAAGTAGAGAGTGATGAAGAGTCTCCAGAAAAACATGTTTCTAACACGGATCACACTGAAGTTGAGTCCACACAGGATTCTTCTATGGAAGAAAATGAAAACGTACTTCAAGAACGACAGAAAAATGGGAATGAAAATAAATCTGGGACAGAAAAAGAAAGAGAGAGTGTTCTCCTTGTGGCTAAATCTGCTTCTGAAAAGAAGAGTGTCATGCTTCCTGAACGTTCAGACCTAAGAAAGGAGAGTGAAATGCCAGATTGCAAAATAGCAGAAAGTTCTGAAGACGGAGATTCAAATGGTAAGTGAAAGGTCAAACAGGTCATTTAGCTCCTCTTTCTTCCTGAGGAGGATTACACTGTTTATTAGGTGTTAGCCTTCTTTAATTCCATTCTATTATTTCTGTTGTATCTCTCTAAAATCAGCACACAGTGTTTCTTGCATAGTGATGCTGCCCCTCTAGTTATGCTAGCTAAACTCATGTTTTTCTGCTGCTGCTGGTTTTTTGATTCTGAAGTTTGTTTTTCAAATGGTACCTAACTGAAAAACAATCATTGCCTTTCTTTTATTGTATAAGTATCTTCCCAGTAATAAGCAGCGTAAGTTAAAAAACTGTACTTCAAACAGTGTGGACCCAGAGTCACATGTGGAATAGAAGACTTATGTCCTAATGTTTGCAATCTAAGATCTGTTTCCTAACCTAAATTACTTTGCAGTTTTACCATGCAGTGCTGTAATGCCAACGTGACTATATTTTTTTCCTGTTTTTACCCTGCCTTTTTCTCTAGTGCTTTTTTTCGTGTGTGAGCTTCTAATTTTTATGGAGCAGTGACTTTTGCCAGAAAGAAAGTGAAAGTCCAGTATTTCTCAGTGAAAAAACGGTAACAGGTCTGTCTCTGTCATCGCAGAGAGAGGCTATTCCAGGTACATGATACTTCACTGATACTGTATCCCAGATAAACAAAAATCCTGACTGAAGAAATTTGTGTCATTCCAGATTCATGGGTACATCGTATGACTCATGCAAGACGTTCTCGGATAGAAGAGCAACAGGTGATAGGTGTCGAGAAAGCAATGGAAATTCTCACACAGCCAGTGATTGTGGATTACTATGAGCTCAAAGTAAGTTTCATTTCAATTTTGTTAATACTGAAGTAGGACATCTTCTTGCTACATGTGCAGTTGTAAATTGTCAGTTGTTAACCAGTGCCAATTAAAACAACGTATGGGAAGGATATACAGCTTGTGAAAGAATTCAACCTGTAATGGACTATGACTGTTGTGTTTCCACACCTGGTGTAGACTGCTGTTCTTGCTTTTGGTGAACTAAATTTTAGGAGACTGGATTCTCTTCCCAATTTCCATTTAAAAGGGCTTGTTGAATTTTAAACTAGCCCACTGACAACCTGCTAGTACTGTTGGTTATTAATGTCTTAACAGTTTTTATGATGGATTTGGGGGTTTTGTTTTGGGTTTTGCATGTTGTCATTTATTAGGAACCTGAAAAGGACCTTTATTTCTAGCAGTGATTACTTTAAACCTGAAGTTAGCAGGTTGGCATAAAGCTTATCATGCATAAAATACTAATACCTGCTTTTCTGAAATTCTTTCAAAATCCAGTGTTAGAATTCTGTATTCACACAGTTACAGTGTTAAAAGGTTCTTCCAGTCCCTCGTAGGAGAGAAGTTGCTCTCCTAGGCTGCAGTTGGGGAAGGGGTTAAAAATGGGACTAGCTGCTGGGAGTAAAAGAGGTTCCTTTGCATGAATTGGAGAGTATAGAACAAGGACCTGATCTTCAGGGGATATTGCAGTGATGAAAATGAGAAAAATTGCTAGGTTGGAGTTCTGGAAGTTGGCCAATGCAGAGGAGGGCTGCTGTTTACCTGCCATGATGAGAAAGGGACTATTACATGGATGTTTCCCCTGTGTGGGGAGAACGTGACCAATCCCCTTTGGTGAAGGGGCTTGTCAACACAATTTCTGTTACATTTTTAAACTGTGACCTACTTTGTAGAGGTGAAACTAACTTTTTAAAGCTGGCTTCCTAAGAAAGCAGATTTCAGGGGGTTTTGTGGTTCATGTCTGTCTGTGTATGTAGAGAAGCCACATAGGTTTTGCATAGAGTCAGGGCGCTAATAGCATGTGCTCCAAAGTTACTGCCCACTGGAGAAATGGTATGGTAGAGCTCTTATACGTTTCAGCTGTGAGGAGAGCTACAGTTGTGAAACATGTCTTTTAGAAAACTTGTTTCATTAACATGGGTGCCATTGGAACTAGCTGCTCGTACCAGAGAGCCTCTTTGGAACTCATCTGCAGTGAATAAGCTAGGTGAACCTCCAAAATGTAGCTGCTTGGTTTTGTTTGGGGTGGTTTTGTTCATTTATTTGCTTGGTTAATAGGCCTAGAACTTTATGAACACATAGAAGAGCATGCAGTCATCTATGTGGCAGCAATTAGAAATAGTTTCACACGGGATGTTGACCATACACCTCTGTCACACACTACCTTTTCTGTTTGCAGCAGCTGAAAGCACGCTGTGTGGTTTTTGTGCGTCTTATCTGTATGTTGTATAGAATGAAATTGAGGGGAATACTCAAATTTTGTGCTAGCTGATCTGAGGGAGGCAGAGTTTGATGACAGGCAATTGTGAGGCAGTAATATTTTCATTTGGTGTGGCTGCTCTCTTAAGCTGCATCTTCACAGCCTCATACAACACAGATACTGAACAGCCACAGCAGTGGGAGAAGGTGCTGCCAGTAGCTTGTTACGGTTGCTTTCCCAGAGATTATCACCTTCACATCTTTGGTAACAGAAATGACTGTGTGAGAGACTGGTAATCTGCTACACGCAGAGTCACTCTGCTAGTTTATCCACTCTTCAGTTTAAAGGTAGGAGCTCACTGATCTGACTTTGCTTCCTGATCTGCTTCAGACACTTGAGCAGTGTGTTCTGCCAGCACAGCTGTAGGCACGGTACACGTTCAGCTAATGGGTAAAGGTGAGCACCTCAGGGTGCTTCCGCTTCCAGCTGGCACAGCTCTATCGAGAAGATCTGTAGCCTGGCTTCCAAAGATCCGTTTTACCGTGCCCTGCATTGCAGCAACAGTTTCTCTAATGAAATGCAACAGTGGCTTTGCTGTGGCAGCAACTCTACGACAAAGTGGATTGTGTCATTCCCTGCTGTTCTGGAAGGCGTTGATTTGCAATTATGATCGTTGATGTGATAGATTGATCAGTAATAAAATATTGTCTGAAATTTAAGCCTTCCTTTTCTCTGAAGTATGAAAAATTAACTTACTTTCTCCAGTTAAATCTTGTGAGGTATATAATCTGTTCTCTGAAGTGTCACTCATATTTTATTTAGCAATATAAGAAAGTAGCATGTCACTTGTGTTGTATTGTTATTGTTTAGCTTCTGAAAACATAAAGAGCCTATTCTAAGGATCTTGCGCTATTCTAAACTTGTAGTTTCCATTTTTTTTCTTCAGCAACTGTTGCATTTTGTCACTGTGATAACTAAGAACTTCAATATATTTCACTTGGAAAAAGTATATGCTGTTCTTAGTCAGTGCATTTACCAACATCGGGAAGATTACGACAAAACCGAATTAGTGAAGGTAAATTTTTTTTCTCATAGCACTTTCTATCACTGTTATGCATGTATGTGTTATGCATATGTATGTGGACATCACGCTTATTTAGCATTACTCTTTAGTGCTTAGTTGCCTGTGTTACAAGACTTTTTCATTTCAGTCTGGAAGGCATTTATCCATATTGCAAAACCATTGTTGTATTTGGCATAATTGTTGGCAGT